CCCAGCTGTGACGGACAGGTGAGGTCATGGCTACCCATTACAATACCTCCCCCCTTAATAAGTTGTTTTATGGGGGAAAGCTAAAGTGCTTTCCTCTATATAAACAACGAGGAGCAAATGTATCCATTGCAAAAATGCCCTTCTTCAACTTTTGGTTACTTTCTGTATATGAATTTTGTGGTATGTTTTTGAATCATCTCACAAATGGAATTGTCTTTCTTTGTTCAAAACAATTTAGAGAGGTAAAGGTTTAAAAATACTGTTTAAAAATGTCTGTTTTGTTTTCAGGAAGCTGATGGCACCCTGGATTGTATTAGTATGGCTCTTACATGCACTTTTAATAGGTGGGGCACTCTCCTAGCAGTGGGTTGTAATGATGGTCGAATTGTCATTTGGGACTTCTTGACAAGGGGCATAGCAAAAATTATAAGTGCCCATATCCATCCAGTCTGCTCTTTATGGTAAGAACTTACCTTAATATCAGCTAAATATGATCTGTAGATAGTATGTTAGCAGTTTGGGTTGAAAATAGAATATGCCCTGGATATGTTCACAAAGCTTACGTATCATTTTCAAAAATCAAAATATTTGTCTTAACACTAAATGCTCGATATCCCTACAAGTGATCACCATCCATAGCTTGTGTATATGTGCGGAGGTGGGAATTATACATGCATATTGAGCTTCATGTGAACTTCATACATGAGCAGATAAAGATAAAATCTGTTTTCATAAAGTGAATATTGGCCAGAATCCTGTCCTGTTGGTGTTTGCCTGAGATTCATGTAATTTGACATGACTAATTGTGATGAGGTCCAACGATTCATGTAATTTGACATGACTAATTGTGGATAACTGATGAGGTCCAAGAACATTTGATTTATTTGATTTATTTTTATTTTTTCCCATCTTATAGAATCATTTAATTAATTAGTTGTTATAATTTTTTTTTAGAACTTGTTATCCTTATGTTGTAAGCCGCCTAGAGTGGTCAAAATGACTAGATAGGCGGGGTATAAATACAATAAATAAATAAATAAATAAATAAAATAAACATACATAAGAACATAAGAAGAGCCCTGTTGGATCAGGCCAAGGGCCAATGTAATCCAGCTTCCTATTTTTCCTTTGGGAGCACACGAGATACCTGTCTCCTGATACCCCTCCCCTGCATCTGGCATTTGGAGGCACCTTCCTTCTGACTGGGGATTATGCATCCCCATCATGGCTTGTAACCTGCAATGGACTCTTCCTCCAGGAATCTGTCCAGTCCCCTTTTCAAGGCATCTAGGCCAGATGCCATCACCACATCCTGTGACAAGGAGTTCCATAGACTAACAACACACTGGGTAAAGAAATATTTTCTTTTGTTTGTTCTCACTCTCCCAACACTCAATTTGAATGGATGTCCCCTGGTTCTGGTATTGTGTGAGAGGGAAAAGAGCTTCCCTCTATCCACTTTATCAATCCCCTGCGTAATTTTATACATGTCAGTCATGTCCCCCCTCAGGCACCTTTTCTCTAGACAAATATTGTGTTTAATCTGTGCATCTCCATTGCACAGCTAGGTGTATGAGCAAGCATATAGCTGAGACAGCTACGACAAGTTGCATAAACCTTACATTAATGCCAGTGGGAAGGTCCTTCCTTCCTTCCTTTTTGACACAGAATCATCCTTCTTCCCACACAATATCAATAAACTATTCTGAAAACTAAGTTTTCTCCATTTCAAAAACAGCTTACTTTGCTATAAGAAAAGGAAATCTAATATCTCTTGGACCCATGGAACTTATTGTATGGTTCTTTCAGTTCTGGTCATTGACTTTAAATATTTTTCCTCATTACATGTACCATTTTAGTTTGTGCTTTCTAGTCTAGAAATGTTGCCTTGCATTTTAAAGGCTACATTTCCACCTGATCTGTGGATATTTCGTATATTTTCAACAGTTTTAACACAATATTTGAGTGTATTTTTGAAGTCCTATAGGGCTTCAAATTAATGAGAAAGTCATAGGTCATGTTTATTGTAAATAGTTTACTCTGAGAACCGTAGAGTTGTAATTTTATTTTGCAGTAACTTCATTGCTTTCTAGTTGCATTTGATTTGAGCCCCATCTTTAATGGTATAGAACAGAAGTGAGGAATTTTCAGTCCAAGAACAACATTTTTGTATAACCCCTCTGGAGATTGCATGCCAGTATGGCCAGAGCCCAAAGTAGGGGTCAAACCTACATATTCTTTCTATCTTCTCTTCTTCCATCTTCATCTCTATATGTCCATGCAACTCTCTTTTTATCACTATTTTTTATGAAGATAAAGGCAAAGGATCTTGATTTTTGTCTTCCAGTTGGAGTCGAGATGGCCACAAACTGGTGAGCGCATCCACTGATAATATGGTATCTCAGTGGGATGTTCTTACTGGTGATTGCGACCAAAGGTTTCGTTTCCCATCTCCTATCCTGAAGGTCCAGTACCATCCCCGAGATCAGTAAGTAATATTAAAGTGCTCTTTTTGTGGAGTAGGTTCTAAATTGTAGAAAAATTATTCATTTTTAGTTTATATTATTTAAATCAGTATTTTAGTCTGTGCTTTGTAGTAAAATTGTTACAACTTAAATTGGCCATGCTTGTGTAGAAATGGAAAATGGAAATCTATATTCATATACAAAAGGTGGCCATTGGTGATGCTAGTTCAGCACACTGATTGGTTTACTGGTGTACCAAATTGTTTATATCAGCAATGATCTGTCCACTCTGAAGGCACTGAGAAGTTTACAACTAAATATCATCAACACATTGATGACACTCAGCTCTGTAGGTGAATTCAGAAGGATTTCCTATCCCAGAAGCACTCCAGTGTTTGCTTGCTGTTTTTTTTAAATCTGTAGAAAAGAAGACATGCATTTTGTATTTATCCCTATGTTGCAGAATTCTAAATTGTATGATTGGGTTTGTAGACGTCCTGCATCTTAACTGATCAAAACATCATTCTCTCCACCCACATCTTCTAAGCTCTTACTAGATGGTGCTCTTGCATCTTTTTCTTTCTTTCATTTCCCCCCAAACCTTGCTTCACAACATGTAAAATATGTTGCTGTTGAACTCCAGAAAGAATATGACACTGTTCATATCGCTGTTCTCTAGAGATATTTTTTTGGAAATAGCTACATTTTATACGACTTTCTGTCAACTTCCAAAGTAGCAATAAATTTGCTATTCAATTTTAGTCCGAAAGACAGTGGAATTTATTAGTTCTGAATCTGAATATAGAGTACATAAAACAAAAGAGCAATTCTGACTTTTTTTTTTTTTTTTTTAAAGAAACAGGGTCTTGGTGTGTCCCATGAAGTCTGCCCCAGTCATGCTAACTCTGTCTGATTCAAAACATGTCGTTCTACCAGTGGATGATGACTCTGATCTGAATGTGGTGGCTTCTTTTGACCGGCGAGGGGAGTATATCTATACAGGGAATGCAAAGGGGAAGGTAAGAAGTCACAGAAATACTCTTTCTTTCTTTCTTTCTTTCTTTCTTTCTTTCTTTCTTTCTTTCTTTCTTTCTTTCTTTCTTTCTTTCTTTATTTATTTATGTATTTATTTATTTATTTATTTATTTGACTTATATACCGCCCCATAGCGCTACAAGCACTCTCCGGGCGGTTTACAATTTTTAATTATACAGGCTACACATTGCCCCCCCAGCAAGCTGGGTACTCATTTTACCGACCTCGGAAGGATGGAAGGCTGAGTCAACCTTGAGCCGGCTACCTGGGATTTGAACCCCAGGTCGTGAGCACAGTTTTAGCTTTAGTGGGTAGACAGTTCTAATATCCTATACGTAATTCACACATGGTTTCTTATTTTAAGCATATCCATTAAAGGAGTTTCTTGAATCAATTGTCATGTAGCATAATCATAAGGATGTGTATATAACTGACTTCAGTAAATTTATTCCCTGTAAAATGTCCATAGGATTGCAGCCTCAGGCTATAGCTGCATTCTTCTTTACATGAGAGTAGGACTCATTGAACACAGTAGTCCCAAATGCTGTCTTATCTGTATATGAATATAATGACATATAATTGTGAGTAAATCTTTGGTAACCTGTAACAATCTGAACCTAATCCAGTAAATGTGAAAGGACAGCTAGGAATGGATTTGCTTTCCACCCTTAGAAGCCATGAATTCCATATTACAAAGGCCCCTTATGTCATCCAGCTTACATATTCAGGGCTCTTTCAGACTTTTCATGTGAATTGAAGCATCACTACATGCTTAGATTTCTTTGCCACTGTTGCTAAATGTATAGCCACCAGGAGACAAATTCCCACTTCTCTTTCATGCTGTACACTTCATCATTTTTTGTTTACTGTATTTTTGTGTTGCTTTTAGGTAATTATTGTCTACCAAAGTAACTGATACTTATAAATAAAGGAGACAACCTATGTAATCTAATTTACAAGTTTAAAATTCAAAGCACACATAGAAGGGAGAAAGTAGGGGTCCTCAAGGCTAAAAAAATATGATTGGATATAAGAAAGCATTTGTGTCTTATTTTGAAAAGGCTGATGTTCCTTGCTTTTGAACTTGCTTTGATAGCAGATGGTGCTTTTTTTGTTCGTTTTTTGTTTTGACTGATGGATGAGAACAGAATGCTCTTCCCTCTGTAGTTTCAGGGCTATAAACTGTTGGAGCCACTTGCTGTTTCTAGTAGGCAATAGAGATTATTTGTTTTGGAAAAGCTACCGTTTTGCAGGATGGACTGGATGGAAACATAGTTTCATATATGTCTTACAAAGTTTCACTGTCTTAAATTCTCCATTTATAATTGATAGAGTTATCACTAGCTTTTGTTGTTGCTGTTACTAATTAATGAGAGATTGAAGCATGTTTAAATCCCTTGCTAAACAATTTGTGAGTCACTGGTGGAACTGAAACTCATAATCCTTTTTTTGATGTCTGTGCAGATTTGATTTTTCACAGTTTGTAAAAAAAGCCCATCGAAATATGATGAGCTGCAATGAAGGCAATCTAATTTATTTCTTGTTTGTACCTTTAGATCTTAGTCTTAAAGACAGACACCCAAGACCTTGTGGCTTCCTTTAGAGTAACAACAGGAACCAGCAATACCACAGCTATTAAATCCATAGAGTTTGCTCGGAAAGGGAGGTGAGTTGAAAGTTGTAGCCCTACTCACATTTTTAAAATGTATTAATCAAATACATAGTTGGGAAGAGCAGGATCATGTCCACTGCCATTCCTGCAACTTCTGTATGTTCAATAAAATGTGGAAACAATTTTCTGTGTGAATAGATGTGTACATACTTTTGGGGACCCTGATCATGGCTACATAGCTATAACGCTATAATTTTACGAATGGTTTCTCCTCCATTAAATCATTGCAATCAGACCAGTTAGTTAATGGTGATATTTTCTCCATGTGTTATGTGCACGCTGTTTGAAGATACGTTTGTTTCCATAACTATTCTTAAAGCAATACATTGAAAACTAACAGTTTTTTTCAGGAGACAGTTGTAATACTCAGTCTGGCAATAATAAGTAAAACTGTGTGTAACATATTAAATTGCCTTATATCAAGTCAGACTGTTTGTCTAGCCTTGTGTCGTCCATGCCAGTCACGGGGAACCTGAACCCTGCAGATGATATTGCATTGTAATTCCCATCAGCCCTATCTAGCATAGCCAGTGATAAGAGATGATGGAAATTGCAATCTGAGAAATGAAAGGCTATATGCTCCCCATCCTTCTGCCTTATATCATCCTGGTGTCCAAGGTGAAGCAGACTCCATACAGTTAGAAAAACCTCTGTTAGACATCATGGTACAAATGCTATGCTGGTTGTAGTGAGGTCAGGTTTTTTTAAATAACTACTTCAGGGTAAATGTACAACATAGCCAATGGTAAGGGAGGATGAGATTTGTAATCCAACAGTATCTGGGGGGGCACACCCCATCCTTCATCTGTCATGACTGGCAATGTCCCTCTAGCTGTGATCTTTCTCATTTCCTGTTAACTAGTTCTTTTAAATGGATGCTGGGGATTGAAGTTGGGATCTTCTGCATGCAGAGCAAGTGTCATGGAGCTGTGGTCCTACAATTGACACCAAAAGCAGCTGGATTGTAGGGAGTTAAATTCCTCAGAGTTGTGAAGCAGTCACGTTTAACTGTGAATTTAATATTTTATTTGCCATTTATTTGCCAAACTCCGATTTCAAACCTCCACTGCCTTGTGGCTATATCCACTCATGGAAAAGGCTTCAGGAGTTAACCTCGAGGCAAAATCCGGAGCTGGAGTCCCGAAGGCAGCATGTGTCGTTCTGCCAACTCCTGCGACATTGCTGGAACCAGTTGTATTGGCTCTTGCCTTTCCATTGGACCATTTCAGCAACGTGGAGAGGGGGGATCTGCTGCTTGGGTAACAGCTTATCCTCCATATTACCTTACCCGGGCTTCATGCTCTGGAGAGGACACTCCTCGATTCAGAGCATGTTACCATAGTCTCTCTAGACTGAAGGATGCCTATGCTATTTGCCATTTAAAAAGGAGTCTGCCTTTGGCATTAAGAGCATTTGTATAAACAGTATTTAATGAAGTTATACACTGGTCTTGCAGATTGAGTAATCTTTAATCATGTCTGCAGATAACATGTATAAGCTACTTGGACTACCCACAGAACAAGCTTAAGAGATTTATTAGCCCATGTTGCTTCTGAATGTCTTTTCATCTGGGTTGGTTGTTGTAACCATCTTGGTAGAAAAAGAAACAAGAAAGGTTTAAGTACCATCATTGAAATTTAACTAACTCTGTGTGTCTCTGGGAGTTTTGAGCATGATGCTCTTGAACAGCTGTCCCTAAGCCACACGATAATCTGTTTTGGAAACTGAGAATATTTTAAAAGCCCCTTATGCTATGATAGTGAGATTTAAAGAAATCAAAAATCTCTCTGGTCTTGCAGGAGTCTTTGAAATCCTGACCTGTTTGTTGATTTTTTTGCTTACATAATAAACTGTTATAGAACCGTGTCTCAGCAATGATTTACATACGTTTTCCTCCCTCAGTTGCTTTCTTATAAATACTGCTGATCGCATAATCAGAGTCTATGATGGTCGGGAAATCTTGACTTGTGGAAGAGATGGAGAACCAGAACCAATGCAAAAGCTACAAGACTTAGTAAATAGGTAAGATCTTGAAAGAAATGGCTATCTTCAAGCAAGAATATATGTTCCTGTCAAAACACTGGTGCCATCATCCAATAGCATGTATAGAGTACCTTTATTTACCACTAAGCAATGGCAGACATAGACTTTGTTCTCAAGAATCTCTGAATGGGTCAAATAGTCAAGCTTTGAAACAACTTCAGGGGGAACACAGCCCCACTTTGTCAGATGACAGGAAACCATTACATGGACAACACTCCAGTTTCCTCCTGGATGATAATTTTGATAAGCAACAATTGAATGTGTGGCTTAAACTGAGGGATTCACATGCACAGTCTAGCGTTGAACTATTTGCACCAAATACTATCGGAAAATAATTATGAAGAACAATACAAGTAATATATGTAAGCTATCATGAATCCAAAGAAACAAGTCAGCAATTCATCATATTGAAACTAGTAGTCCTGAGCTAACATCAATGGATTATATGTATAGGTATACTAAGTTGCAAAGATAATTTTTCAACAGTTGCCTAAATCTTACAGATTGAACACATATTTTCCTCCACATTATAAATTTCAGCCACCTCCAGTTTTAGTAAATGAAATGATGGTACTGTTTGGGGCAAGCAAATTATCATGGATGAAACAGTAGATTTTGATAATTCAGATAACCCTGTTTCCCCGAAAATAAGACCTAACTTGAAAATAAGCCCTAGTATGATTTTTCAGGATGCTTGTAATATAAGCCCTACCCCAAAAATAAGCCCCAGTTAAGTGAAACTCTGCCCTGCACCATTGTGCAGCAACCAGAAGATGACATGACTGTGTTTGAATAAATGTAGATGGTTGTACCTGAAAAAAAAAGCATCACCTGAAAATGAGCCCTAATGTGTTCTTTGGAACAAAAATTAATATAAGACCCTGTCTTATTTTTGGGGAAACACGGTATTATACTTCTGGATAAACAATTTAAAAATGCCTTATAGAAATTGGGAATTCCCCTCAATAAGTAACCTCAAAGGTACAAAAAGTACAGAAGTTGCAGACTACCAAACATTAAGGGAAGAAATTAGAAATAATACGAAAGCAAGATCAGATCATCTTTCTCTCTATACTAATTTCAACAACTCATTTCAACAACCTTTGTTTAACAAGTTAAAACAATTGGCTGTAATTATTGATTTGCTTCCTGAAATTCAGACATCAGTGATTCTGCAAACTTGTCATTTCACCCACATATTTATCAGGAGTTGACTTTTAACCTTTAAGGTTGACCCTTAGATCTACCCCTATGCATCAGCAATAACACTATAAGTGTTACTTCTACTACAATTACAGTTTTATTACTACTGCTGCTACTGTTACTCTCCTTCTAATGCTGCATTTATACAGTGGTGCCTCACTTGACAATGTTAATTCGTTCCAGCGAAATCGCTGTAGAGCGAAAACATCGTCAAATGAAATAAAAAACCCATTGAAACGCATTGAAAACCATTCAGTGCATTCCAATGAGCTCAATACCTGCTGATCCAGCAAAGATCTTCCATACGGTGGCCATTTTCTGGTGCCTGCTAAGCAAAAAAGCCTTCCTAAAAACAGTGGGGGGCCATTTTCATCAGCTGGCAGCCATTTTATAACCTGACGATCAGCTGTTTGCTGATTGCCGTAAAGTGACAATCGGGTCCCGATCATCACAAAGCACAAAAACCCCATTTAAACCATCATTTTGCGATCACAAAAGTGATCGCAAAATCCTAATTGTACAGCGATTTCCTCATTAAACGAGGCACCACTGTATTCCATTTTTCTACGAGCACACATACAGTAGCTTTGAGTGAAGGGACTCTTGCCATCTCACATCCCCTTCTGATGCAGCCACGTAGTATGCCTGATAGTCTCAATAGTTCTCTGGGAGAACAAGTTGAGCTGTGTTTGATCTTAGCTATGTCGATGGAGGCTCTTTGTTTCACCACTTGTTCTAAAACAGTCAAGTGAATGTATGAGAGTTCTTCCCTTATTGTTTCCAGCCTCTGCTCATACTTCTCCAGTGTCATCCCTTTGCACTAATTGTACCATCCTTCTCCTGTTACACTTCACTGAAAGTCCAAATCTGTCTTGAAAGATACATCCTGTCTTGAGCAATTAGCTGCTGTGAAATTTGTCATTTGTAGTTTCAGAATATCACACATCTGGCCACATATAAACCATCTTTTGACAGTTTTGAATTGGTGTTATCTAGTGCTCTTGCTTTTCCTAGAACAGAGTAGCACAGGGCAATTTGTTCTGTTGATTCCTTTCTCTGCAGAACACCTTGGAAAAAATGCTGTTTCTCTGGTGATGGAGAATACATTGTTGCAGGGTCAGCACGTCAGCATGCTTTGTACATTTGGGAGAAGAGCATTGGAAATCTAGTGAAAATCCTCCACGGCACTAGGGGGGAGCTGCTGTTAGATGTAGCAGTAAGTGTTTTTCTATTTTTCTCAAGGGATTAATTATATACAAAAATATATAATTTTTTTTATTTAAAAAACTTTTGTTTTAAAATACTATTTCCTGTGCAATCTCTGTCTTCTAGTGGCATCCTGTCCGACCCATCATCGCATCAATTTCTAGTGGTGTAGTGTCCATTTGGGCTCAAAATCAAGTGGTAGGTAGTAATACTGATATATGTTCTGATTTTCAGTACAGGTTGCTTTTCTTGGGTGATTCTGTGGTAAGTCTTTGTGAATATTTTTGTAGCGTTTCCATAAGGTTGTGTACACAGTAGAATTAATATCATTTTTGGTGTATTCTTCAGAGAAAGCCAAATGCATTTGTGATCAATGAGAAATGAACTGTCTGTAGCCAGGGGCTTGAGACTCCCTTTCACTACAGACAGAAAAGTAATAAAAAGAGTGAAAGAGATCCTGGTGTGATATCACGCAACAGAGCTAACTAGTGTAGTTTTTTTAACATGGCTTGTTATAAAGAAGATCTGGTCCTTGTAGATTAATCTGGTTTGTTGTGCTTATCATGTTTGGCTAAGATGTGATGATGTAGTGAATTACTATTAAGATATTGGCACAGTGGTGAAATATTCTTTGTATTTGTGGCTTAGGAAAACTGGAGTGCCTTTGCACCTGATTTTAAAGAACTAGATGAAAATGTAGAATATGAAGAGCGGGAATCTGAATTTGACATAGAAGATGAAGACAAGAGTGAGCCAGAGCAGACAGGTAAAACAAATGCATTGATTAAAAACCTCAGATTGTCCTGTGTGAATAGTAAATGTCATTAAGTAAAGGTAAAGGTTCCCCTTGACATTTAGTCCAGTCGTGTCCGACTCTAGGGCGCGGTGCTCATCCCCGTCTTCAAGCCGTAGAGCCAGCATTTGTCCATAGACAGTTTTCATGGTCACGTGGCCAGCGCGACTAGACACAGAACACCATTACCTTCCCACCGTGGTGGTATCTATTTATCTACTCGCATTTACATGTAGGTAGATAAATAGCTTTTGAACTGCTAGGTTGGCAGGAGCTGGGACAAGCGACAGGAGCTCACTCCGTCGTATGGATTCGATCTTATGACTGCTGGTCTTCTGATCCTGCAACACAGAGGATTCTGCAGTTTAACCCATCTTGCTCCTGTAACTTGTACTTCATCAGGTGTCATCTCTTTTTGTTCATCAGGATAGTGTGTAAAGTTTGCACAAAGAGTGTGCAATTACAACTCAGAGATGAACTTTTTGTGGTGGGTTGGCAGTAGGCAGATGCACCCCTGGGTTGGCAGAAGTCCCTTTATGCTTGTAGAATTTCTTTTTGCTGGCTGAATTTAGACATCAGAGGAACCTACAAAAGAAATACTCTGCCAGCTAAGATGTACCAGAGAGGAGCTGAAAAAGAGGATTGTTCTCAGACTACTTCAGCATTATTCATAATGTGGGACATAGATTGTGAAGGTGATCAGGAATGAAGTCCTTCACAGGTATATATTTGTATTGTTGTAATTGTCATAGCTGCCCCAAGAGTAGCTTTGGGTGAAGGTGCAGGATATAAATGATGTGACATTTATTTATAGGATTACGTGTGGAACTTTAGTACTTCTTGTACTTCAGCCCACAGAATTCACCACGGATTTGCCCCAGCCAGAATTCTGGGGGCTTTAGCCAAGAAATTAAAATCCTCACTGAATTTTAGTTACTCACAGGTGGAGAATGAAGACTCCAGCATCCATTATGTGTCTGTGAGGAGGAAAGAGGAAGTTGATGGCTCAATGAGAGTTGCAAAGGATTAGAAGACTGGTAGTTTCTGAGAGGCATCCAACCTAATGGCCAGAGGGGCAGCCAGAGCCTTACAGTTAGCCAAAGGCACCTCTGTAAAGAAGGGTACAAACCTGAAAAATTGTGGTTTGTGATGGTTCTTAGTTAGCCACGAACCACAAACTAACCAGAAAACGTAACTGGTTCCCAGTTGGGTTTTCAGTTTGTAGCCGGTGTTGGTGGTGCCTACCTGCTCCTGTCACTCCACCACTGCTGTGCTGCCGCCACAGGCGAAGTGTAGAAGAGGAGATCCCCAGCACCACATTCTGGGATTGCTAGACCAGGAAGGACCAGAGCTACTGTAAATCATTGCTTCCGAGTTCCATCCTAGAGAGGAGCATAGAAGGACACAATGGTTGATGGTATCAAAAGCTGCTAAGAGGTCCAGCAAAACCAACAGGGACACATTCCTCCTGTTCAATTCTCAGCCAAGGTGACCAAGTCAGCATCAGTCTCATAGTCAGGTCTGAATCTATATATTTTCCCAAAATAGCCTTTTCATTAAGTGAAGCTCCTGGGTAACGTATGGATAGGCAGTGTGTCAATCCAGATATTTTGGACTACAGCCCTTATCAATCCTAGTCAGTATGACCAGTAAGAGCTGTACTTCAGTAACATCTGGAGAGCACCGCATTGTCTCCCTTGGCCTTAGATTCTCCTTTTATAATCTTTTATTCTGCATTTCATCCACCCATTATCTTTTCTCATCACTTGTAGTCTTTTTTATTAAAGTTCTACTGACACTGAGAATTGCAGTTGATGCTGATTTAATTTAAATTGTATATAATTTTATATAACAACAGTTGCAGTCCTCTGTACTTTAAGCAGGCTTCTGAAAAGGTTTTCCACTGGTTGCTGAAGTCACTGGAAAGGTTCAACTTTGATTCAGTTTGTCGCTTTGCTGTTGCCCAAAAGTTGGCTCCATTTTCACTTATGCTAATGAAACATTAGTAGAAGCTTGTCAATGAGTTCTCTCTGTTTCTTCTAATACATGATATGAACTTTCTTTGTTTGGCAGGTGCTGATGCGGCAGAAGATGAAGAAGTGGATGTGACTAGCGTAGATCCCATTGCTGCTTTTTGTAGCAGGTGAAAATAGGGTGATGAAGATGTGAAAGAATTTCTAGTGGATAAATTTTATGGAACTTATTAGTTCAATGCATGTTTCTTTAGATTTTACTTCCCCTGCATTCAGTAAAATTCACTCGCTGTTAAGCACAGTTGAGATTACTGCCTAAATTTGCATGCATTTTTAGCATAAGCAAATAGTGTTTCTGATTTTTTTTTTAAAAAAATCTGTTGCCAAGGCTCTGAAAAAATTGTTGACAATTTTAAAAAATGTTGCTAGATTAAAAATATGCTTCTGATTATTGACGAATTTTGTCTTTTAACACTTTGTGTGGTATGTCCTCTTAACATTTATTTTGAGTCCAGTTTCAAAATCAGCAAGAGGAGTTTCTTACATGATAGACCTTATTAAGAGCTATAAGAAAATTTAAATTGTATTCAGTTTCTAATGCACGTTAACAAGATTGTTATATCCAAAAACAAAGATAGGCAGTATTATCATTGGACAATTAAAGAACCTTGAAGAGAAGCACTTTCAGTTCCCATGGGATTCTTAATCAGTTTTTACATTACAAAGCTTAGGAGTGGGGGAAGGTAAGGAGAAACAAAAGTCCAAAAATAATCCTGACTAGAATCTTAGAAATCTATACTTAATTTAATTTCCAAGATGGAGGCTACTGACTTGAGATGTGGGGTAGCATGTTTCACCTCAAAGGATGTAGAATCAATTGCTTTATTTCACGTCTACCAACAAAGGAATGTCAGTCAATTAGTGAATCTTGCATTTCCTTTTGTTTAATTGTTGCAATTCTTCACTTTTTCCGAACGGTGTAGCTGGAAAGTATAGAAGTTATTTTTCCAAACCCTTTCAATATGTAAAGATCTCTTTTTGTTTTAAGAAGCAAAGGGCAAATCTCTGTTCTTGCTGTTGTTGGCTTTATTTTCTTCTCAAACATCACCATTTCTGCTACAGCCATCCTTGGTGTGGATAATACAGTGGTGCCCCGCATAGCGACGTTAATCCGTTCCGGATTAATCGTTGCTATCGGGAAACATCGCTAAACGGAACTAAACGGAACTAAAAACTTCGTTTAATGTGTTCCTACGGGGCCCAAACTCACCATTCAGCGAAGATCCTCCATAGTGCCACCATTTTCGCCGCCTCGGTAAGCGAGGGCAGCGCGCGAAAATGCTTGCGGTGGCCATTTTGGGCACCCGGCGGCCATTTTGGAACCGCCGATCAGCTGTTCTAAAAACATCGCAATGTGAAGATCGGTAAGCAAAATGCTTACCGATCATCACAATGCGATGTTTGCCCATTCAGAACATCGCAATGCGATCGCATTAGCGATCCCAAAAAATAGATCACTATGCGGATTCGTTGTTAAACGGTACGCTCGTTATGCGAGGCACCACTGTACTTCTTTTTTATTTTGTGCCTGACTTTTGTGGGGCAGTTCATGGATTACATGTGGATGTGGCGCATTTTAGCAAAGTTGTATATTGCTGAGGAAAAATCAAGTGTAGCTTTGGCACCCTGATGAATGTATAGCCAGCATCAGACCTTGGTTATTGAGTTCATAGTATGTTAAATTATTCTTTAAAGCAGCCTTCCCCAACCTACTGCTATCTAGGTCTATCTAATCATCATGGGATAATGTGAATTGCCCTTGAGCAAATCTGGACATCACCATTTTGAGAAAGCCTGCTGTAGAGCGGATGGTGTTCAAACAGAAGAAGAGATGGGGAAAACTATATTGCAATGTTAACTGTGCATTGTTAGTTGAAGCAAAATGTTGTTTACTTGACAGCGACGAAGAATTGGAAGACTCCAAAGCTTTATTGTACTTGCCTATTGCTCCTGAAGTGGAAGACCCAGAGGAAAACCCTTATGGACCTCCTCCTGACGCAGTCCAGACTGCAATTCCTGACGAGGGTATTGGCTCTGAGAAGAAGAGGCAGTCTATGTCTGATGGACCTCAGCCCCCAAAGAAGAAACCCAAAACTACCAACATAGAACTGCAGGGAGTTCCCAATGATGGTAAGTGGGAGTTGCTGTCACTTTTATGCCTGCACTATCCCACATCTCTTTAACAATCAACAATTTGGAAAAAAATAGATATCCTAATTCTTCAATATTTTGGGGAAAATTTTGGGGGAATAATGGTTCACTTCATTTTATCAATTGCCATACGTTATCGTGTTATCAAGCACAACTGTACTCTTCTACCTCAGGAAAAAACACCTTCCTTCCTAAAGGAGGAAACCCATTTCTAAACATTGACTTATTTGTTCTTCTTTTGTGCCTTTGTGATCCTTTACTTCTATGTGGGCAGTTGTCTCAGGAGGGAACAAAAAGCTTCTTTAAGTAGTTGATCTTCCTCATGCTCCACACCATTTTGTTTGTCAAGGAAAATTATAGGCCTGACCAGAATAAAGTGCTGTAATGAGAAGCCATAACTGTCAGGTGTGTTGAAACTGAGTCAGGGTGACTCAGCAAGGATGATGTAACCCGAGCTGATGCAACCTAGAGATGATGTAATGCAATGAGGTAATGTGTAATGTGATTGGTTGTCTGAATGTATATATGTAGAGCTGTACAGTTAATAATATCTTCACCAGCTTGAAGATCAAATCTGCCTGCCATGCTGCCAGACTGCTGTATATACTGATGTAAATATACTATGCTGAAGGAAATGCTGCCGGACTGCGTGTGATTTATTGCTGGACTGCCTGAACCGCCATACACTCTGCTAATTCCGTGATTTCCGCTGAGAAAAACCTGACATTGTTAATGTAACTTATGGGTTCAGGATGCTTCGAATAACAAAATTGCTGCAGAAAAAACACTTCTAAGTAGGAATTTATTTAACCCCAAATACAGACTCTATCTTCTATAATGTGCAATAAGTAGAACAGTTATGCTGGACAACCTACACGCAGGTTCACACACTCTCCTTTACAGTTATGAATAGGAAATGCATTGTTTCAGGCCATTTGCAAATGCCACGTTGCTTTTGTTAGCAATTGACTAGGTCTGCTGTCCCCTGCCAACCTAGCAGTTCGAAAGCATGTAAAAATGCAAGTAGATAAATAGGTACCACCTCAGTGGGAAGGTAACAGCATTCTGTGTCTAGTCGCGCTGGCCACGTGACCACGGAAACTGTCTTCAGACAAACACTGGCTCTGCGGCTTGGAAACGGGGATGAGCACTGCACCCTAGAGTTGGACACGGCTGGACTAAATGTCAAGGGGAACCTTTACCTTTAGTGTCTCTATTACTATAGGGCAGTGGTTACTGTCAAGGATTTTTGCTGGGATCCAGGCCATATTTATGTGCTGAGGAGAAGGCAAACCCAGTGGTCCCTTTCTATCCCAGAGCAAAATCTCTTACTTAAATCCCAGTAAAAGCTGCCACCAACCTTCTCTTTGTGTGTGCATTTCACATGTTACATAAAGACAAACTACTCTAGTAATATGGGAGAGTGGCTTGGCTTTCTGGATCAGGTAACCAAAAGATAGCTCTGCAATAATTAGAACTCTCTATTTCTAAAAGACTTTATTTAAAGAAAAGGCCAAACATTAATAAAAAGGCTTGGAAGGCTTACAAATTATAAAAATTACAGTTAAGGGCTCTCAGACAAGCATAGCTTTTAGGAACAGGCATTAAGGATTAAGAAATATGGTTATTTCAGTATCTAAGGTTCCTATCAGCCACTGAGTAGTGGCCCTAGACTTACATCAGGTTCCATAACCTTCCTCTACGTCCTGTCTCTTGTTCACCTGGAAATACTCCTTTTGTTTGACTCTGGACTCTACTTAAGCTCCCAGCTTGGTTGTGTATTTCCTGGGAATTCCTGGCCAAAGAGGGTGTTTCAAAATAAGCTTTTGAACTGGGTACTTGGCCTAATCTGACTCCAAGGTGGAAACCAGCTGTCTTTTGTGTTTATTGAGCATGGGAAGAGAAAAAGTCAGCTCTGTGTGTGATGCTTTAAACACACTAACCTCAAATACTTTGAAATCTGTATCATTACCAGAAAAGCTGTTCCTAAAAGGTATGATTTCTGGTTACATCTCTGTGTTTTAACTTTGTGGCCATGCTTCCCTAGCCACACACACCCCTTTGCTGGCTTTCTCCATACTTCCCAAACTTGGACCCCCAGGTGTTCTTGAACTAAAAACTCTCAGAAGCGTTCACCACTATCTGCACTAGCCAGGATTTAGTTGTAGTCTAAGAATACCTGGGAACTTAAGGTTGGGAACTGCTGCTATAGGGCATAGATATATAGTTAAAGCGATGTCTTGTGAGAGATGATGGAACAAGTTCATAGTGCAGTGTATTTGTTGCAGTCACACAAAAATTGATTGCTGCCAGTTCTCTGTTGTTTGTACAGCAGTGTCTCTCAAGACGAAAGTAATTTGTTCCAAGAGTAGCGCTGACATTTTCGTCTTGCGAAAAGTGGTTTTCCTATAGGAACCTCGGAAGACGAATGAATTATTTTCATCTTGCGAGGCATCGGTCTTGTGGAAACAAATAGTCTTGCGAAGCATGGCCATAGAAGAAGACATCTTGCGAGGCACCACAGATATCGCAAAAACCATTCGTCTTGTGGGGTTTTTGCCCCACGAGGCGTTCGTCTTGCGATGGCACCACTGTACTAGCTTTCCCAATTTTGTGGTGGCTGAGAAGTTGCTTGTTCCAGTAAAGGCATTGTCCATGTAGATTCCGTGTAGATTCTGCCAGTTCTTTGGCACATAGCAACAAGTCTAAAGAGGACAGCTCTCCAAAAGTGTTGCTGCAACGCTAATATGAACCTATAGATTGTGAGACTATGTTGAGTCATGAAATATGTAACATTAGAGTATACACAGAGAGTAGGGAATAACAAAAGCAATCCTTTATGTCAGACAGGATGCTTGACCAAATAAAGTCCCAGAATTTAGGTTCTCACGACCTTGCACATTTAGTGTTAACAATGCCACTGCTTTCCCCAGATGTTTAGAATACTCATGTTGTTGCACTCCTCAGTGGGGAAGAATTGGTTCAGTTTACGATTGCTTGATGGAAATATATTAAATTAGTTTAAGTACTGTGGTGTTACCCATATTTTCTAAAGCACTTGGGCTAGCAGCTGCCCCGTCTGAATAGCTCCCTGTGTTTATTTTAACATTTCTGTAAAACATATTGCTAGTGAACTATTGTAATTCCAAGCTTATCCAACTGTTCTTCTGTGGCTCAGAAAACTGTGTCTTCTTCCTTCTGGAAATGACTGAGATATATTCCCCCTTTTCTATGTGATGGCAAGAGGTTCAGAGAGCTACAAATTTGACAGATTATGGTTCTGTTTTAATGTAAATTGAAATCTATGCACCTTCTTTTTTTGGCATGTGCCTCTTCCCTCACAGAGGTCCATCCATTGCTGGGTGTGAAGGGAGATGGTAAATCCAAGAAGAAGCAAGCAGGCAGACCGAAAGGATCAAAAGGTAAAGAGAAAGATTCTCCATTTAAACCGAAACTCTACAAAGGGGACAGAGGTTCTTTACCTCTGGAAGGAGCAGCGAAGGGTAAAGTGCAGGCGGAGCTGGGACAGCCTTTGCCAGGTAAGGACCCAGTGTGAGCGTCTGCTTGCTTGGTGACCTTGCTTCTTACAGACATGGCATAGTCTTAGCACTTTAGCTCCCCAGTGACATTTGCTTGCTAAGTGTTTAGCTGCTCTGCTTTCAAGGATGGACAAAATTTTGCTTTACAGAATATGACATAATTGAAATCCACAGTTTTACAAACTTCAGTATGAAGTGTTGACCTGTAGGCACTGCAAGTGAAGAAAAAAATAAACCGTTTTCATAGGTAATGTTACATTAGGAAGAGAGAAGTTGTTGGTTCTCTTTGCAGCTTATACCATTAGCCCAGTTTTTTTAGTCAAGAACGCTGTTTGGAGTCAAAGGTAGAAGCGAAAGTGCTGGGGAGCAATTTGGGAGCAAACACATTTATTTGGTAATGTTATGAATATTTTACAACCTCCCAATAATAGAGAGGAAAGAGTAATTATCTGACAGTTGGGTGATTGTCCTTAAATTTCATTGCCTACAATATGAAGGAAGAATGAGATGTCCATGTGTTGGACCCGTAGTTGGCCGCTAAATTGTGGTATCTGCAGATAAGATAATTGTGGTATCTGCAGATAAGATAAGAGCCTCGTGGCGCAGTGGTTAAAACGCTGTACTGCAGCTAAAACTGTGCTCACGACCTGGGGTTCAAATCCTAGGTAGCCGGCTCAAGGTTGACTGAGCCTTCCATCCTTCCGAAGTCGGTAAAATGAGTACCCAGCTTGCTGGGGGGGCAATGTGTAGCCTGTATAATTAAAAATTGTAAACCGCCCGGAGAGTGCTTGTAGCGCTATGGGGCGGTATATAAGTCCAATAAATAAATAAATAAATAAATAAACAATTATGTCACTAACTAATCTGAGCAAGAAACAAAATGCAGGGTGCTGTTGTGCAGTTGGAGTGGGGCTGTGTTGGTAGGAGCAGCCTTGAGTTCCAGTAGTGAGGATCATCAGTGTCCAGGAACCTGTTAAGTCTCCATTCGTGGGATGCTTCTCACTCACTTTGCTTATATAGGTAAGATTTCCAAACAGGAGTGGATGACGCTTGTAGTGAGCTACATTTATATTGCATGGATCTTAGGAAACTTTTATATGAGGGTTGCTGGATGCAATAGGCTTCTGGTGTGATATATACACAAAATTTTGTATGTCCTTGAAGTTCAGTGGCTACTGCTTTGAATTTTCATGATTTTTAGAATTGAGATTTGTTTTAACCCTTTCTTTCCCTCACTGCTGGTCCAGTGTTACCCAGCTTGCTCGTTGTCCTTCCTGCTCTGCTCCTATTACGTTGCTTTTATCATATTAATAAATGCACTGGATCTTTGCTTTAAAAAATGTGATGAAGAAATTTCCTCTTTCCGAGGAAGAAATTTGTTTGCTTTGTTGTTTTCCTGCTAGCTTTTTCTTACTTTTGTTTAACTTGTCAACAAAATGCTGTAACTTACACAACATCATATAAAACAGAAACCACATTAGTAGACTTAGTGTTGTGTAAACATGAGAAGGAAATTAAGTGGCACCATGGTACACATTTTCTGTAATAATAAAGTGTGTTGGTGATATGTAAGAGGGTAACTTTATTTTTGTTTGCTTTTATGTAAGTTTTTGGCAGTACAAAACTACTTAAATTTGAACTGATTATAGCAAACTGGCAAAAACTTACTACTTCTAATATGTGCACCTATGACATTTTATGGGACAGGAGCGATGCAAGCAGTTCCTCATGTAGGGGTAGAAACCTGTCCTGAGGGAAGATAAAAGGTGGTAGCAGCTGTTGTGCTGGGAGAGCTTTCTCCTGACAGAATCCTTACTCCTGATTTCAGTTTGTACTTGAACTGATGTTTTAGACTATTGGCTACATGCAATCTATCCAGAAAGTTGACCTACTCAAGACATGACCCATTAATATAGTACACCTGTGCTTCATTTCATGATAAAGATCAAAACTATTCTTGATTATTCCCTAAGGGTGCTTAAGATGCTCTTGTTTTCACAACAGACACCATATGTTTTTAAGATGCTAAAATGCTGAATTTGCTGCACACAAACATCTTGTGAAACACATTCATATTACTGTTGTGTGATCATATCACATTTTAGTACAGATGTCTTTTTTAAAGTCTGGAAAGGATGTGATTAAAAAAATTGGACAGTAAGCAGTTTCTCATTTTAATATTGCATGTTGAACATACTTGTTCACTTGTTCAACATCTCTGAAGTCCACACTGCTAGGTGGTTGACTTTATTATAGAGTTTAGCCACCAATAAGGGCTCTGAGCTTTCTAGCAAAATGCATTGTTTGCTTATGGATCATTGTCTGGAAAATGTATTTCAAGTGGTGGCATTTATTGGTGGTCACTTGAGAAATCCACACATATATGTATTGGTACTGCCGTGTTTCCCCGAAAAAAAGACAGGGTCTTACATTAATTTTTGCTCCAAAAAACTCATTAGGGCTTACTTTCAGGGGATGTTATATTTTTTTCATCTACAACAATTTACATTTACAGTGGTGCCCTGCATAGCGACGTTAATCCGTTCCAGGATTAACGTCGCTATACGGAAACATCGTAAAGCGAAATAAAAAAGCCCATTGAAACACATTAAAACCCGGTTAATGCATTCCAATGGACTGAAAACTCACCGTTCAGCGAAGATCCTCCATAGGGGCGGCCATTTTCAGTGCCTCTTAAGTGAGGCAAAACAGCGGGCGACCATTTTGAAACCGCCCATCAGCTGTTAACCAATGCTTTGCCATGATCGGTTCCCCAAGCAGGGAACCGATAATGGCAAAGCACTGCCAGCTGGCCAGCCCGGCTTCCCCCCTTTCGCCCAGCTCGGGTGAATGAGGGGGGAATCCCTCCTCCCTCCCATCCACCCGAAAATGCCATTTTAGCCCGGCTCCGGGGAATGAGGGGGGAATCCCTCCTCCCCCCATCCACCCGAAGACGGCATTTTAGCCTGGCTCGGGTGAATGAGGGGGGGATAATGTTTGGAACCCTTCAGACTCAGAAACAATATGTAAAGAGGTTTGTTGTTCATTTCCGAACAACATAAACAAAACGTTTTTTTCTAATTATGGTTACTAAGGAAGGAGATTAACCAAATACAATCTAATGAATGCTAGGGATGAAATATACAGATTAATCATGCAGAGTGGGCAAATATTTCAGAAATTAAACATTTCTGTTTCATTTCCAACAACTACACCCACGGCTCCAGCTGGGGGAAAATGCCTGTAGTAGCCTCAGAAGGACCCTTCCGAAGGGTCCTTCTGAGGCTACCGAAGGGATTCCCCTTCGGAGGGGGCATTTTCCCCGAGCTGAGCCCCGCCGCTCAGCTGGGGGAAAATGGTGCCTATGGGGGAAACATCACAAAGCGATTTCCCCCCATAGGCACTTCGTAATGCGATCGCAAAAATGCCATCGCTATGCGAATTCGTCGTTAAACGGGGCACTCGTTATACGAGGCACCACTGTATTCAAATACAGTCATGTCATTTTCTGGTTGCTGCACAATGGTGGAAGGCAGGTTTTCACTTAACTGGGGCTTACTTTTGGGGTAGGGCTTATGAGCATCCTGAAAAAATCATACTAAGACTTATTTTCAGGTTAGGTCTAATTTTCGGGGAAACGGTAATATGTGTTATCCACTGGTGTCCATTTTATGATCATATGAAGTGGACTGAGAAACTACAGACCAGAGAACTAGTTATAGCTGTTGGTTTCAGTAACTGCAAGGTTGGTTCAAGTTCTCTTGGCCTTTGTGGAAGGCTTTCTAGTTACAGTGTTTAGGAATGCTGATACAAGTCTCTCAGAATCCACTTTTTAGTTCCAGACTCTTTATTGAATTACATACAGGCTTGCTCTCTCAATCATGAACAGCATATACACTTGCGCTCTAGAGCTGCAGCTTTGTCTATTCACAACACCACTCAAATGAGTCAAAAACAGGTGGCACTCTGAATTCAACATTATCCGGCAGGGAATGAGATGTACCTCCTGATACAGTTTTTGTTTATTTTGAAATTCAAGAAATTATCAGACAAAACTGCCTTTTAATGTGTAGACAGTGATCATGGTTGAGAGAAAAGTACAAGGCTTCATTTTACAAAACCTGGAAAATGTGGACATAGGAAAGACTGCATACTCTGCTTTTCCCTTGTCATACATTCTGTACCAAACTCTTTATACCTAAGACTGCCATGTAACTTGAATCTCAGTCATTCCTTCTATAGTCTTACAGAGAGGGCACCAGGAGTGCTTGATTGCTAACACTCACCCTCTCTGAATTAATGTAAGCCAGGTAAGTTGGGGAAACCTAGACCAAGAGAAGGTTATTGGATTCTCAGGTTTCTAACCCAATTTTGCCATTATTTGCTTTTGAAATAGAGATCTTTAAAAGCTAAATAAGCACATGGTCGAGAAAAGCTTCCTTCTAATGTTTTTGTATCAGTTATGGATGCTTTTGTAACCAGCAGCTTCTGATACTGCGAATCTCTGAATTCTGTTGAAAACACTGCCATATATGTTTGAAATTTGTTCTTGTTTTTCTCTTTTATTTTGTTCTTTTAGCAGGTGGCGGGATCTCAGAGCTCTTATGAGTATATCCTTCCCTTCCCTATCTACCCTTATTTCCTACATTGAAACAATAATATGGAGTAAGGACAAAAGATTGAGTCAGATAATGGACTGACTTTAAGTTAATACAGTCAGAACCAGAGACCCAGCTGCCTGTGGACACATGGACCATTTATTTTTAAAGATGCTGAATTATGGAACAGGAAAAAATCTTGTCTCTTTGTTCCTTTCTTCTTGCCAATAATTAATGAAAATGTGGACTCTCAGGAAAGAAGATTTTTACAGAATGTGATGGAAATAAATTACTTTCTGCTTCTTGATCAGCTTAGACCTCCCTAAGGTAGAGAGTCTTATCATAGGACAAGACAGGAAGACCCCTTTGCCACTAAGCTGAGGTTTTATGCTAATTTCTATTACATACAGTTCTGAAAGGGGTAAATGCTAAATACCTATTATGCTGCTGTAGATTTCATTGCATTATTGCTATTTGGAGCATCGTTATTTTCTCTGTATTAGCCATACTAGTTTGTAGTGGGTTCATAGGTATGCTGTTAATGCTTAGGGTCGCCTTGCAGAGCTGTGGAAGTTTGCCTTCCATGTTGACCTACTTTTTACAGGTTTGGAGTAGATACTTAGAACTCAGATGACTCCAGAAAATTAGAGTGTTATGAAGGGGGTTACGGGAAATGGTTGCTGATTGCAGGAACAAGACAGGGAAAGAGAGGAGCAGATGTTTCCGTAGGAATCTGACACTTCCCATTGTGGTTCCATGTGTCATATATAGATCAGAGATGTTTGTTCCCCAAACATCCCACCCCCAGGATGAACAGAAATGTATGAAAAATCTCCTCTGTGGTTATAAGTGCACCTGCAACAAAAGGCTTTGAGCTTTGATTCTGGGCCTCTTTAGAAAAACTTGCATTTTGCATTTGACTTCCTGCAAGCCTAGTTGTTTAAACCAAAGTCCAATTAATCTTTAAGCACAAGAGATTTAAAATATGTTTTTTTTCTAGTACATCATTTTAAGATCCTTCAGGAGATTCTCTTAGCCTTGTGCTCACAGAGTGTATTTCAGAACAAGCAAATATATTTTAAGCTGGTTGTTGTTGTTGTTTTGTTTAGTGATTTTGCTTACAAGTTGTTCTCTGGCCTCCTTCCTCTAATGCAATGTAATTTACTATTTGCCCATTGTATTATATTCTGTAATATGGTTTACATGTACCATGATGACCACCAGAGCTTCCATGCAACCTTTCTGTGTATAATCCTGCCATCTACAGGCTGCCAGTCCATCCAAAGAACGAAGCAGTGCTTGGGTTACCTACTGTACTACAAAAAAGGTGTTAAGAATTCCTATCTTGTCTTGTACACTTCTTGGCCTCAATGTCTGTGCTTTATGTTCTTTCAGATAGTGCTTGGGTTACCTACTGTACTACAAAAAGGTGTTAAGAATTCCTATCTTGTCCTGTACACTTCTTGGCCTCAAAGTCTGTGCTTTCCGTTCTTTCAGATCTCAGAATTGTTTTGATATTTTGTAGCTTGCACAAACCTGGCGTAATGATTACTTGTTAGTTTTTGTAAAGTACTCCTGTGATGTTAGTTTCTGTGTTTGTAAATAAAAGGGTATGTTTTGTTTCTTAAACTTTCTCCATCTTTCTTTTCTCTGGAAGTGCAGATCAGTGTGTGTCTATCAATGTGTCGCAATGCACACAAAATGGCACTCTATGATGGTTGGAATGGTGTGTCTGATAAGTTTATTTTTAGCCCCCTAGATTCTGAGGGACAAATCAGCAGGGTTCCTATCTAGCTATCTTCTTAATAAGAGCTTTCTGATAGGCATAAACCTGACTTTTACCATAGATGGATCTCGTCTGTTTCCATACACTGGTAAGAATGCATTGGTTTGACTTTTAGGATGACTACTGAATTGTAGAGGCTGATTTGTATCATCACGGTTACATTGGAGAACTTGGTTTGTGACCTCACAAGTTTATAACAATGAGTCAGTGAAGGAAGCTTCCAGAATTGAATGCTGTGGAGAAAAGAACAGACTAAGAAATCCATCTTAATGGAAGATGCTTAGCTGGGAGAATATACATTTTCTGATTTACATGGTCTTTCCCCCCTACACTGTCACATCACTGACTCACTTTTCTAATTCCATGTTATTTGAAAGTACTTCAGATCCAAAAAGATAATGTGGACATTAGTGTTGTGTAAGTATCACATCTGTCTTGTGTCCCCTGTTACTGTTACCATAGTGTTTATATCCTAGGTTTTCTGTAGAATGCTGAAGACTGGGTACATGCCTCCTTCTCATTTTTATCCTCACAACAATCCAGTGAGGTGGTATTACCCAATAAACTTCATGCCTGAATGTGAATTTGGACTGTGGTCTCTCTAGACTTATTCCATAACTCAACCCACCACACCATAGTGGCTTTCTTTTTCTGTGGTATGAGATGTTGTTTTGAAGCCCTTTTTGCTGAGATGGGAGGTGTAAAATCAGGGGTTGTATCATGTTAGTTACCCAATACTACTTCGTGGTCTCTGTGAATGCACACTAATCAGTTAAACCTGCCCCTGCGCAGAGATCTCCAAAATATTCTAGAGCTAAAAGTTCGCTAGGACCACACGCGCGCTCCCCTGCAGCCCACGTGGTCCGCCTGTCCTAGCGGTTACCTCAGTTCCTTTTTGCTGCTGCACTGGTCTCATCTCTAGAGCTTCACTATGGTCAAATTGGTTCTTTCTGGAAAGAGATAAATTGTTCTTCATTAATTATTTCCTCGCTGAACATCTTTACTAATCGTTCGTACCTTTTAATTTTGTTTGATTTTATTTACCTAATAGTTATCCCCCCCTTCCCTCCCTATTCTCCTGTTACCATTTCCCGCCCTTTTTATGGCCACAACGGGCCCTTTCAAAAAGTGCACCTCCTGCATAAACAAAATTCCAATCTCTGACGGACACAACGCCTGCCTGTTCTGTCTAGGGGAAGCGCATCAGTCATCCATTTGCCCAATCTGTAAAAATTTCACCAAACAAGCCATAAAATTCTGTCAGCAAAGGCTCAGGTCCTTTCAGTGGCAGCAATCCCTTCGTCCTCAAGCTAAAATGGACAGTTCTCAAACTCCACAGTTACCGGCTCCTTTGGCTCCACTTCAATCTCCAAAGAAATCTAAACCCTCCGAATCCAAGTTGTCTGGCTCCATGACTCATTCCACGGCAACTTATACTGAAGTCCTCCACAACGAAGCTGAAGAAATTGAAAAAGCCGTGTCCAGATGAGCAACTGTTGGTACAGCTCTGCTCGGTACAGAGTCACCCTACCATTGAGATTGATACCAACAGGAAGTCTATTCCACCAGCTTCGGAACAGTTGCCTTCATCTCTTCTCGCTGGATCTCCATCTTGGGCAGATACCTTGGCTGAGGTACCAGCTTTGCAGTCTTCAGCCATTTCAAACCCCAAATCCTTGGCTGGCTAACTATTGGGGTGCGAGTCTGGATCACTGCATGTCGCTGTCCAGTTACCATCAAAAAGAAGAGAGTAAAACACCATACCGATCGTACTGGCCGTTCCAATACTGTTATTCACCAGCCTCCATGTCATTTAGGGCTGCGGGTATCGTCAAGCTCAAGGGCTCAAAGTCATTGGCCCAAATATTACCCTTTTCAAGCCTTCAGAGTTCTTCAATATGCCACTGGATCCATACCATCATCATCTTTGGTTCTGGTAGCCAGGCATGGAGCATTTCTTCGATCCTCAGATGCGTACTCATATTACTACCTGTCTGATTCATCTTCGGCTTTGTCCTCTCCGTACCGGCCTGAATTTCATGGAGAAACTTTGGATGTTGACACTTCGGTACCGAAGTCCCTTCCCAGGCACCACAACAATGCAGACAGACTTACCATCCAGATTTATAATCTCTACACTTGATGGCCTGGAGAATCCTACCGCATTGAATACCATCCTTTCTCACTCCAGGAAGCCCACTACAAATCAACTTTATTCTTATAAGTGGTTGGCATTTCTGACATTTGCTCAAAGAACAGCCTTCCTACAACACCTACCACTCTATGAGCAGTTTTGCTCTTCCTTTCCTATCTCTTCGATTGCCAATTATCATTTCCCGCAATTAAGGTCTATATGTCCGCTATCAGGGCACACCAGCCACAGGACTCAGATGCTGCTTTACGGTTTTGACATCCTATCTTAAAATTGCTTCCTTTGAGGGGTTGCCCACCTCAACCCTCCTAGGTCTTCTCCTACACCACAGTGGTCCCTACATACTGTCCTGAGGCGTCTGTCACTTCCTCCCTTTGAACCTCTCGCCACTTCATCAGACCATCTACTTTCGTTCGAAGTCCTGTTTCTTGTAGCCATCACCTCTGCCCGGAGAGCATCAGAGCTTGCAGTGCTCCACGTAGATCCTCCATTCCCACAATTCCACCCAGATAAAGTCAACTTGTACAGTGGTACCTCGCAAGACAATGACCCCGCTAAACAACGAATCTGCATAACAACGACTTGCGACCGCTATAGTGATTTGCAAAACAGTCATTCCAATAGGGTATTTTTGCTGGACGTCGATTAGGTCCGTGCTTCACGAAACATTTGTTCACAAGACAACGATTTTTCGGCTTCGCAAACTGGCTGCCCTGTGTTTTCCAGACCCATGCGTCGCAGGGCAGCCATTTTAACAGCTGATTGGCGCTTGTAAAATGGCTTCCCTATGGGCGATCTTCGCTGGACGAGGAGGGATTTTCCCCATTGGAACGCATTAAACTGGGTTTCAATGCATTCCAATTGGGAAAGAGTTTTTGCATGACGACGATTTCGCTAAACAGCAATTTCAATGGGATGGATTATCATCGTCATGTGGGGCACCACTGTATCTGGATATTTCCTTCCTCCCTAAGGTTGCCACTGATTTCCATGTTCGTCAGCCAATCATTCTGCCTACCTTTTTTCCTAGTCCTTTGACTGGTGTTGAGAAATCGCTCCACCTCTTGGTTGTGCGACACGCTCTCGCCTTCTATGTCGAGAGAACGGCTTCCTTCTGGAAGTCCAAGCGATTATTTATATCTCCTCATCCACCTCATAGAGGAGCACAAATATTGCCTGAGACTATATCACAATGGATTGTGCAAACGATACGACTGACCTACCGGTTTGCAAAGAAGCCTCTTTCTGCCAGTGTCAGGGCTCACTCCACCAGAGCTTTAGCAACCTCCACTGCATTCCTGCAAGGTGTTCTGATCCCGGATATCTGCAGGGCTGCCACTTGGTCAACGTCGTCAACTTTTGCATCTCATTATCTTCTAGACGTGTGAGCGAAGACGGATGCAGGCATCGGACGAGCAGTTTTGTCTTCTGTTCTGCCATTTCATCACTCCTCCTCTGAGGTAAGCTTGTTAATCACCCATTAGTATGCATTCACAGAGACCACGAAGAAGAAAGAGAGGTTACTTACCTGTAACTCAGCTTCTTCGAGTGGTCATCTGTTAATTCACACTTCCTGCCTGTCCTCTCCTCTGTCTGTCACATCTGTCTCACCTTTTGAGCAGCAGCGGCTTTGGGGAACTGAGGTAACCGATAGGATGGACGGACCATGTGGGCTGTGGGGAGGCGGTCCTAGTGAACTTTTAGCTCTAGAATATTCCGGAGACCTCTGCGCAGGTGCAGATTTAACCCATTAGTGTGAATTCACAGATGACCACTTGAAGAACCAGAGTTACAGGTAAGTAACCTCTCTTTTTAATTTTACTATACATCTAGAAGCTACAACAGTGTCTGTTTCCTTGCTTGATGAGTATTCCCTGCTCTCCCTCATCAAACCATTAATAAAAATGTTGAAGAGCACAGGAACCAAGAGTGAGCCTTGGGCACCCCACTTGTTACCTCCTCCAAGTTTGAGAAGGAGCCATTGATAAGCACTCTCTGAGTACAATAGAAAAACTGTTCCCCTGACACTTGTTCTATCCAGCCCTCAGCTAGTTAGCTTCCTAGTCAGAATATCATGGGGTACTTTGTCAAAGGCCTTGCTGAAGTCAAGATATGTTATGTCTACAGCATTCCCACCATCTACCAGGGAGGTTACCCATTCAAAAAATGAGATAAAATTAGTTTTGCAGGATTTCTTCTTGACAAATCCATGCTGGCTTCTCATTATTATCGCATTGTTTTCAGTAGCAGATCTTGGAAATACAACCTTTTGGACATCTGCTTCAAGAATTCCCAAGTCAGCTGTGGGGTTACTGAGAGTTCTAATCCAAAAATTTCCTCACGTTCTGACTGGTACAGCTGGGAAAGAGCCTTTGCAGGGGGCCTTGGAGAGCCACCAGCAGCCAGAGTGGCTAACAGGAGACAATGTTTGGACTCAACTGAAGGCAATGTAAGATGTTCATTTGGTTCAGGCGTGTTTGGTTCCCTAGTTCCAACTAGACATCTAAAAGACAAAATAATAAAAGGAGCCAGTTACATGGATTCAGTGCTATTTTCATAAAAGACTAGTTCTGCTGAATTTTTATCTAGGAAATGAAAGGATAATACTGTTAGCCTTCCCTGAGTTCTCTTTACATGGAACAACTTAATAAGATTCAAGTTGATAAAGTACAATTCCAAAATTAGTCCAGAAACTGTATTCAGAACTGAGGGAACTTGTAACATGGAACAATATAGTCAGAATAGATCTCACCACCCCACCCAACAAGTAGTCGGCTATCTTACTTCTGCTGCTCTCTCGGCTTTTACCAAGGTTTTCACCTGTTCAGAGAAGCACTGCAGTTCATGTTGAACATTTCAGTAATGTGAAAGTATGGTAAGACTGCCAGACTAAATTAACTTATGAAATTATTCCAATTTTTATTAAGAAATATTTTTACATTATATGATCGTGCTTGAAAAGCCAGTGTCTGGAAGACACTGACTCTAACATGATGTTACCTACAGACTTTAATTATGTATTGCATAACATGGGGCACAATCACATTCGGGTGTACCTTAATTACTATTACATTATATGATCGTGCTTGAAAAGCCAATGTCTGGAAGACACTGATTCTAACATGATGTTACCTACAGACTTTATTATGTATTGCATAACATAGGGCACAATGAGCACATTTGAATGTACCTTAATTACCGTTTTCAATATATTTCTTTTCCACAGCAGTATGTCATTCAAATTGCCTTTATATTTTGAGAACGTGTCACATCTTGGTACCTGGCTTTGGAAGAAGGATCTGTTTTAAACTTCAAAAATGTTTATGACATTTTCATAGAATGACACTTAGATTAATTAATCAAGCTACAATATGGATTCTAAGAGGACTTTCTGGGTATGATGACTGCAGAAACCAGCTTGACCCTTGGAACATTTGCATTTGCTTTCTTGGTACCATTATCAGTGGCTGCTGAGGAGACATCTACCACTCCCATTATTCCTAAGGAACTGAGGGCAGCAGTTGCTCGGGTTTCAGTCAGTTCTACCAGCTGTAGCGTCACCTGTGGCCTGGGTTACAAGGAAGAAGAGATATGCCAAGTTGGAACAGATGGGCAAAGGAGACACTGTACCAAACGGAAAGTGGACTGCTTGAGTAACTGGATCTGTGGAATGCAGCACTTCACCATCCTTGTTGGTAAGCCTTTTGAATTTAGCTGCCTGACCCTCAAGGAGATTGGTCTGGAGACCCAGAGCTTTAGTTATTCATGGAGGTTAGCCAGAGGTATCATTACCACTGATGATGCTCTCTTTGCACCTTTCAAGACTCCTACCTTCGTCGTTAAGCTTCCTTCTGCTGAGGAATATGATGCAGGAACATATAGGTGTGATGTCCAGTTTATGAGAACCTATAAAATTGTCAAGAGAATCTACTTTGGCCTTCGTGTGATCCCCGGCAACCTGGTAAATATGAACTTTGACAAGTCCTTGACGGTAGAACAGAAATTAGAAAATGAGCCCCCGCAACAGAATACCACAGTGGCTCCAGTCCAGGAACGATGGTGGTCTTGGCGACAAAGGGCTGTGTTTGTGTTTCTAATAGGCATTGGCAGCGGAGTGGGAGGAGGACTCCTGTTGCACTTCCTGCTCAATTGTTTGCTGAAGGCCCATGGAAACTACCAACGGGTGGAGGAATGACATTCACTTTCTTTTTCCTACAGAATGACTGGTCTAAATAGTTGCATTGTATCCAAGTTAAAATAGACTACGTGTTAAATGGGTAGCACCAGTTGATATTCTTCCTTTTTTGGCCTCTGTGGTGGTGAGGGTAACTTTTAAAAAACTGGTTGGGGGAGGTTTAAGCTGCTTATCTGTGAGGAAAGAAAGAACCCCTTTCATGGCTAGATACAAACACGTTTAATGAGCATTCTGCTTTGTGTTACAGCTGTTGGCCTCTGAAGACAGTCTTGTGAGGCAAACCATAAAGAGTGTTGTGCTTTATTTACTAGAGACCAATAAAGTGCCGCCCTCTGTCTTCATGATTTTAAGCTTCACAGGACCTCTGAATAGTAGTGCAGACCTTGCAGGTTAGTAGTTGGAAAAGGACTTAGTGGTTGATCATTTGTTTAGAATGTGGACCCTGGTTCATGCTCCAGGTGGGGCTGGGAACAACCTCTGTCTAAAGTCCTGGAGAGTTGTCACCAGTCTATAGCTAACACAAAGTGAACTAATGATTTAAGACAGTTTTCAGCATCCTGTTTCTGTTTTGCAGACTTCATAGTGCTAAATAAAACTGTGCAACAATGCTACAAAAAAGTACCTGGATTATTGGTACATTTCATGTGCCTCCTTGAATCAGAAGGACCAGCCCTACCATTAGACAGAGTGAAAAAGCTGCCTCAGTGGCTAATTTTCTACATCACGGAAAGGCAGGCAACTCAGCTGGTTAATTTATTATCATTTTTACTTTTAGTTTCAAGGAGAAGCATTTATGGATTTTCTGCCTCCCGTGCCAAAATAACCTGGCCAGTCATGAGAACTATGTAAATTGAAATGGGGTGGTGAGTGCTATTTGCTGCTCTGCCTCAAGAACAAAATATCTTGAGCTAACCTTGTGAGTCAGTTGTCTGAAATCTTTGCTGCAATTGTGAATTCCATTGTCAGCATACTGCTATTTCTACATAGATTAATGAAAGCAAAAACAGGTGAGGGGGAGCATAGCAGCTGCAGTAGGAGCTTACTGCAGAAGTATCTGTGTTCTGTCTGGAGGCAACAGCATCTGCCTCCCCAAGGGGGTTAAGAGTCTGCATTCCAGTTTGAGAGTTCTGCTGAAAACCACTAGTGAGCTCTATGTGTCTCTTTCTGCATTATTTATTTACTTTCTTACTAAATATACCACCTAATTAGTACAAGCATTACCCTAGAATGACTTGGAGTCTCTTGGGTGGAGAATGCACGATTGCAGTGCAATTTTTGTGTAATTTTTGTCAGAAACAAATTTATTTAGGTCTGCAGCTTCAGAATGAAAGAACGAAGCTCAGCCCAAGAATTTACCTTCAGGACCAAAACTGAGTTTGCAGTCTTTTTATCTCAAACAAACTCCCCACTTCTTATCCCCACAAGATTTGTTTTGTTTTAGAAGATTAATTTAATTATGTGTGTTTGGCAAACCATTTTACTTAGTAATGCTCACTATATGGTGCTTCCAATCCTACAAAGCACAAAAAAATCATTATTACTATGAAGTTGCAAGACAGGTGTCAGGGTGGCTGTTTAACATGTTATGCCGTTTTGCCAATCTTAAGGGAGGCCTTTGGTCCATCAATTTTGGCGGGCGTTCCCTCACCAGCTTTGGCAGATTTGGCGTCCTGTCTACTCTTCTCTACTCTTTGATAGCAAGAGAGTCAGAAAGATAAAGATAAAGGAAAATGTCCTTCCTTCCTTCCTTCCTTCCTTCCTTCAAAGAGAGGAGAACTACAGAGATTGGTAAGGAAATGGAGCAAGAAGAAAAGTGAAAGGAAACAAGAATGGAAAGAAATGAGAAAGTTAAAAATGGAGAGACGAGAAAGATAAGATGGCACTCATAAGGATGATCAGACCTGGGCAAAGGCAAGAAGCAAGACTGCTGCAAGAGGGCAACAGCTCCAACGAAGACTCTTTTAACATCAGATGTTTGCTGCCTCCTGATATAGAAAGTGATAGGATTACTCCGTTCTAGCAGATTCCTCCTCTGCAACGCCCAGAGAATGTGGACAAATACAGTTGTAACTTACACTTGAAGAACAGCTTCTTTCAAATTTAATTTCAACAGCAATCCATAAGGGGAAGATATAGGGTAATTTGTGCAGGATTGATGCTTTGGGCTCTGTATGCAGAATGCTAAAGATCTATTTTTATTTCGGCTTTGAAGATCAAAGAGGTAACAGCATCTCCTCCTTCCACTTCAATTTAAGTGGAAATACACATTGCTAAATTTCTAGGGACTCGCAGTCAACACGAGGACCCATGTTGTAGCTCTTTGACACATGTGCAGCCACCTGCTTTGAGCATGGCACCCACTATTTAGTGTTTTAAAGGTACAGAACTTTTAAACGATAGGCATCCTGTACTGGCAACAGAAGGACTATGACCTAGATAAACATGTCAGAGCGAATTGCTTTTTAGAAACAGCAACCTTCCACTCCTTTTCTCCTGGAGCTCTCCGCACCCCATAAAATAAGTGATAATCTGGCAGGGTACAAGTGACTGCATTTGTGCTCAAGAACACCCTTCATTTAGTTTCTGACAGCCTGGCTGCCACATCCTTGACATGGACTAATAAAAATTGTAGGTCTTGAGGTGCTGGAAGACTTACCAGGTCCAACCTCTTCCACTAAGGCAGCATTGTAAATAAATTGCCCCTATGGCCTCTAGTCCGGTGTATTATGTGACTGCTAGGAGCAAATTGATTATCTTCCGTCTGTCCTTCATATTTCAATGATACGTTCATTCAGTGTTAACCTAGTTGTAAATTATGCCTTCTTTTGGGTTCAAGGGGTCTTGCTCATAATTGCCAGAATGCAAGGCAAATGAATACTGAAGCCGGAGACATCACTAACTTATTACTGTTTATGCCTGGAAAATGAGACTCGTTTTTTATAGAATAATAGCTATCACATTTACAAAGAGAAAAAGTATCTTTCCAGGAGAATTCACACTTACTGTTTATGCCTGGAAAATGAGACTCGGTTTTTATAGAATAATAGCTATTTTATAGAATAATAGTATCTTTCCAGGAGAATTCACATCTTTTGTTTTCTCATCATGTATCTGGCGAGGATGGCAAGCAGGTGAAGATGTGCTGCATATTGATAATATTCCTCCATGTAATATCCCCAGAAGCAGAATGCTTCTCAATACCAATTGCTAGGGAACAAAACCCAGTTCTGGTTATGGGCTTTTTCTTGGGTTGATTGGCCGTTGTTGGAACAAAATGCAGAACTAGCAACACTGGATCTAAAAATTCTGCAAGGCTCAGAATCTGTTGTGTCCCAAAGGCAGGAGAGTATGAGTGTGTATTGAAGAGGGATAATAGAATTCCCAGATTAATCGTATTGGTCCATTTGTTTACAAAAACAAGTTTTTGGGAGCTAAAGTCTTCTCCTTCCTTATTCCACCAGCCTGAAAATGTGAAATACACTAAAAGAGATTAAGGTGCTATACAAATATATAACAAGCACTCTGTCCTTGATGAACAGTCTAAGAAACCAAACCTGTCAGTCAGTGTTCAGGTGCTTTATAGCTTTGCTGTCTTATTCTGGGAAAGATCTACTGGCCTCAGATCCAAATTGCAATTGCTGATCAGGAGTTCCTTATACATGGAATGGTGGGGGAAAACACTGGGTAGGTGATATTTATGTGCTATTGTGGAAGTGAAATGAAAAGGTAAATCCACTGAACCCTTACTTAAAAGGGATTACATTTACACTCATTCAGCCACCCAAGCTACCAGTCAGACTGTAAGTTTGGTGTGCATCTGGAAGGTGCTTGGTTAGAGAAGACAACTTAAACTTACTGCACTTTCAAGGCAGCCAACAACAAAATGTTTAATTTGGGATCATATTGGTGACCACAGTGTAATTCTGCCTTATTTTCCCTTGCTTTGTGGTTTCTAACATTGTTTGTGTTAGCATAATGGCAACTAAATGGATTAAAAATGATCCTTGCCTGATGTTAATGTAAAGGAATTAGATTTTCAAGGTCAGTAACAGTTAACAAAACATTTTCTATTGATGTTCCAATATCTGTCTTTGAGGGTGAACAGCTTTGCAACATCTGTTTTCTGAGGAACTGCCTTTTAAAGCATGGCTTATAGTGAAACATTTTTCTCTTCCAGCTTGTTAAAGCATGAGGCTTCTAGTGCTTGTCTCTAGTTTCCAGGCCTAAGCCAGAACCAGTCCTACCATTAGGCAAAATAAGGCAGTGGCTTCAAGCAATAGGTGCTGTGAAATGGCAGAAAGGTGATGGAAGAGAAAGAGAGATAAGTGCCATGTGGCTTGCACTGAGTTTTCTAAATTATTCAGCTGCATCCAGGTGTGGTTGCAGAGGTTCACACATTTATTTAAGAAAAGAAAAGTCTGCCAATGCAATCTGCTTTTGTATCTGGAACGGATGGAGACACCATCTTGTTTGTCAGTAACAATATCCCCTGGGCTTACCCTGCTCTGAGCCCAGCAACTTTCAGGGCCATCCCAAGACATTTTGTTGCCTGAGACAAAGGACAAGATGGGTCTGGGCCTGTTTTCCCATTCCACTTACAGAAGACAGCTTGACTGGTAGCTTTCAACACTGGTGGAGAGATAATCTAAGAGCAATAGCAGCCGGGAGGCTCCCATCCCACCCCCCAAAATATCTGCCATCTAAGGCAATAGGCACATACTGCCTAATGACAGACTCAGCTCTGTTTCTACTTCTGTTTCTTTTATCCCATCCACACAGATTCTTGTCCCAGATTTAGTGGTTAGAGCATTGTTCTCACACACAGATGGGTCAAACGAGAGACTAAAGGGAATATATTTTGTATGGGTTAACACATTTTTGCTCTTGAAACAAATTTTCCTCATTCAGGCTTTCAATTTAAGCTTGTTTTACCTTTCAGAGACCAATTACACAATGGATGCAAGATACAGAGATGAGGAAAATCATATGGTATTATAACAACTTGGACAATTTGTGGGGTGGGGGAACACCTATCCAAAGAAATCATTTAAAAAGTATTGTCCAGTTTGACCTCAAACCAGAGGAAACTTAAGGCTATTTATCCTCATACAGAATTTTTTAAAATAAAGCATTTGATTTCATTATTTTATCTGGATCCACCATTTGTGTTTCATGCTGCCGCTGTAATATCTCTGTGCCATATTCTACTTCTAAATGAAGAATGAGGCATAAACCAGTGTGGTGGGCTTTCATGAAGTATGTGGAATGGCATAAGTGTGTACCTGAAACCCCAAGCAGCAGAAGCTCCATCACACTCTCATGAGAGTACTATAAGGCATTTTTCTGAAGAGTGCTTCTCT